TTTATTCTAGATTTGTAAGCTAGGGAGCTTAATTGACCTGCACGAAAAGCATACGTTTCGAAACTTGGCACAATGTTTTTATCAGAGCTTGATCGTATTTTGTAAGCTTCAAATCAACAAATTTTCATGCAAAAACTCTCTGGAAAATCAATATGTTCTAATCCATTATAATGCTAAAATTTTCATTCTTAGGAAAATAACTGCGGAGTTTCGACCAAAAATTGTACATTTTTCGAGCAAGCACTCAGCGTTCTCGGGTACGGTAATGGGCGAGAGAGTATAGAATCGATTTCCTCTGCAGTAGGTAGACCATTATCAGGAGCTGCATTATTAATAATCCAGTATACTTCCTAGCTAATTTTGCAAGAATTCTAGGTACTCAGAATTTCTATGCTCTACCTGGAAAACTGAAATCAAACGCTTAAGTCAAATTCAAGATATTTTGAGCAATGTATTTACTGTATACTTGTCCGTCACTTCTCATTACCTCGCTTCACAGCCAGGCTTGTTTATGCTTTCATATGTTTGTTATAGACGTTAATACTTCTGTTCCCTGTATTACTCTTGTTTGTGTCGGCAACGCAATGTCATGACGATCATATCTTCCCAGCTGATGACATTATTGAGCTACCAGTGGGAAGGTAGGCGGTTAAATCTGCAGTAGTTAATAAGAAACGAATTTTTTCAAGATTCCCGGATCCTGAGTACGAGTATTCAGTGTAAAGAAATGGACCATATGGACCTAAGGTCAATGGGTGGGTTATTAATGAATTTTGTAGAAAATATTAGGTTGAAGCAAAAGGAATGGCCGATTTGCGAATTCTCATTTTGATGTGCTATAACTTTCTAAAAAATCCACAATCTTGAATGCGGTAAAGACCCTCAGAAGCAGCAAATCTTTCGCAATACAGCTCATACTTATTTATACTCAAACCATGAAGGGGAAGAGAAATACGTCTGAAACACAAAAAAGGTTTCTGATTACTTCTGTGCCGAACAGGTTTGTTAAGCGATGTTTATTCTTCTTCCAATCACGGCCCTACGTTTCGACGCCTTCGTCTTCCTCAGAGGCCTGAATGGTTCCAAGTGTTATCTGTGATACCAGCCCACCAAGCGTCTCCTCCAATCCCGCCAGTTCTCGACCTTCTCACGATCTCATTCCACATAAAACGTCAACGCAGAACAACATACCGGAAGAGCACCGCTTTCCGAAAATAGTCTGCACCGGAAATAGATGGTCGCGGCAGACGAATGAATCGTACTGTAGATACACATAAAATGATCTACAGTTACAGATCACATAGTGATACGAACGGGAGGAAGTCAGAAGTTATTGATATACACTCGTTCTTATTATTCATTTCTGGATTCTTTGCAGAGATCCAGAAAGCTTCTAACGCTTTCCTAGCCGAGGTCTCCGTTTCGTATGTAAGGATCTTACATCTGACATCGAAATCTTCTCCACCATGCCGAATTTCTCTATGCCTGCCCAGCGGCGAGCCCATGTTCTTACGCCTTTTATCAGCCAAATGTTCATTTATGCGAATACCTAACATTCTTCCAGTTTCTCCAACATATGATGCGTTGCAGCTTAGGCATTCAATTTCGTATACGACTCCCACTTTTGCACAGTCCCCTACTCTACCGTGCGGGCACACTATGCATGGCTCTGTGGTACAATAACGGTCGTAGAGCCTGTTTCTGACCAGCTGCTTTTTGATGTTTTCGTTAGGGATGTTGACCAAAATAACATCATTCTGCAGCTGAGCTCGAACAATGCATTGTTGAAACGCCGCGCTGATCTTATCCGAGATAAAGGGAAGGCAAAGTGGGAGTTTGTTGCTATTATGAATGCGGTTATCATTTCTAGGTCGTCGAACACGCGATAAGTTGTGATAACCGTTACTGCAAGCAATTTGAGAAGCTAACTTTCGTGATTCGCTGCGTTCTTCCTCTCCGGAGCACATCTGCGTAGCCGTCTTAAACATATTCCCGATAACCGCGCGTTTCACAGACGCAGGATGTGCGGACTTGACATTTATGAGGATGTTCTTAGAGCTTTCCTTGCGGTACCACTTTACCCTAACAATGCCACCGGATAACTGTATTTGTGCGTTTAGATATGGCAGCCAACCGTCGTGTGGTGTTTCGCGTGTGAGCTTGATGTACTGCGATTGCTGGTTCAAAATGTTGAAACACTCATCCATTTCGGATTGTGTTGATGTAATAACACAGCAATCGTCGATGTAACGGCAGTACATCAAAGGCGTACGAGCTAGCACAGGCTGTTCAATTTTACTCATAAAGCAAATTGCGAGTATCGGTGCTAGTCTTTGACCCATAGCTAGTCCACGTATCTGGGAGTAGTAAGTCCCAGACCATCTAAAGATGTTGCACTTCAAGCATTCGCTGATTAGGGTCATCGTGCGCATTTTGCCAAGTCCAAACATGTTTATAGTATCAGCATATCTGTCCAACAATTCTGATAACGCTTGTAAGGCTTGACTGTTTTGTACGTTAGTATAGAGTGATGTCACGTCAAACGACTCTATAACAGAACCTGTGTCAAGCTTTGCGTTCTGCAGAACCTCGATAAATTTCTGTGAGTTGGGTAGATGTGCTGGTACTTTGGACAGCAATTGGCTCACAATTTTGTTTAGAAACCACGAAATTCTATCGGTAGGACCGCCTACGCAACTGATTATAGGTCTAATTTTATAAGTTTCCGTTGACATTGAGCTCGTATCCTGCAAGGAAAGCTTGTGCGTTTTCAAAAGGCTGTAGAAGACTGGACAGCTTGGATTTGTTAACTTCAACCTACTGATAAATCTATCATCGAGACCTGCAGATTTTCCTATCGTACACCAAGCGTCATTGAGTCTTCTACACTGGGCATGGTATTCTTTCTCACTGACTACTCTATACGTCGCTGTATCAGCTAGGTGCGCGGCTGTTATCCGACGATCCAGTTCTTGTGGCATTATTACGAACTCGCCGCCTTTATCACTTACAGATAGGCGCACGGAGCCGTTCGATATGAGTTCACGTATCTCTTTGAAGCCTTGCCATTGTTTAGGTGACAAGTTGCTTTGGTATTGCTGTTTCGACTTAGTCAGGACGTCTAGTATACCAGAAGACAAGAGGCGGAACTTCAT